GAGAGAGAGAGAGAGAGAGAGAGAGAGAGAGAGAGAGAGAGAGAGAGAGAGAGAGACGAGGGGCCGGCTGATCTTGCTGGAGAAAGGGAGTGACTGAGGCCGGCGAGAGAAGAGACGATGCTTTAATCGCCTCTGCCTGAAGAACCTAGGAACTGGGAGAGACGCTAAGCTGCACCTCTGGGGCGGGTAACTGGGCCAGGGAGTTCCCCCAAAAGCCCTGAAGCCCCCTGCAGCACCTCTAAGGAACATCCCCGAAGTTAGCATCAGTGGGACTTGGCAGCTTGAATCTCAACAGTAAGTTTTTCTTTTCCTCCTCACTGTCCCCCAGCTCGCGGTTCCGAGGGAGCATGGTCCACTGGACACTTGGTGGCGCGGGTGGTGGTGGTGGTGGCGGCGGCGGGGGTGTGCCCCTCCTAACAGCCTTTCACAAGTAACCTGCCAGAAGAAATGGAAAAGCTCAAGAAAGGTCCAAAGTTCACCAGGAAATTGGAGATGTCTGTGGCCGGCAGGAGGCTGGCTGCCCTAGGGTGGGGAGTCCCTCCTGCTGACCGCTGGAAATCTCTGTTCCCTAGGAGATACCTGGGCTTCCTGCATCTCCCTTCCTTGGATAGAGAGGCCAGGTCCCCCCGCCCAGAAGAGGGCAGAAGGGCCGGAAGGGGCCCGTTGCCCTGGGCCGCACCTTTACCTTTAGAGGGAGTGATCGGGTAGCTGAGACTCTCTTAGCTTTAGATCCTCAGCTTAATCTTATTTTCTCTTTTAAGTCTGGCCAAAGTGGGAAAGCTAGCTTGTTATTTCTGCCTCCTCTCTGCCTGGGTCATTTCCTGTGTGACTCCCTTTTTCCTTTGAAACACCTTTCAGACTTTTCCAAAAGGCCCCCAGAACTAGGATGGGTTCAGGAGGAGGAGCCTTGCTCTCTCCTCACCTGGGCTGCCTGTAGCTCCCAGGAGGTGGGCTCTGACGTCCCTGGTTCTCTGTGCCTTTCCTCAAACAGGGCTTTTCTTCCCAGGCTGTGGAACTGACCCCCACCAGATAATGATCAGTGGGGACATGCATGTTTGTCAGTACTTTATTTTCCTTTGATCCTCCTGTTGACACAGGCAACCACCTCATTCTACAGGTGAGAAACAGCAGCCCAGAGAGGCTGCTCAACTTGCCCAGGCTACACAGCTTCTAAAGAAAGCTTCTCACCTGGGTCTGACTGCCTTCCGTTCCTTGTCCTCAGCAGGAGCAAGCTGTGTGTTCTGGGGCTTGCTGGTTCCATGGGAAGCAGGCTAGTGAGGAAGGAGCCCCACCTATGGAGCGGGGGTGCTACCAGGGCCTGCATGAGTTAATCCTGACCCCATTCCTGGGAGGCAGAGAGAGCGCTCCTGTTTTATAGATGAGACAAAAGAATTTGGAGCACCGAGTAGCAGTGGTAGCATCCTCTAAACCCCTGCCCTCTGGCTTCACAAGACGGGCTTTCCATTATCAAAGAGCAGGTGTTCTGGCCTCCCCAGGCCAGTGGAAACCCCGTCAACAGGCATCCTGAACTCTGGTGGGTGCACGGAGCAGTGAATGCTCTGGAGTCAGAAAGAAGAGCCCTCCCTGGAGCGCTGACATGAAAAGTTTGGCCAGTTTCACTGGGGTTGTAAATTGCTGAGCCAACCCAAGGCATCAGAGAGAGAGAGAGGCAGGGCCTTGGCAGGAGTCCTGGGGCACAGGCTGTGTGCTACTCGGAAGCTCAGAGCCAGGGCCACCATTAAGAGAAAGCAGTTTTCCCCAAGAGAACTTGTCTGCACACTCCACAATGCCCAGTAGTCCTCCCTGGACTTGCTACCTAGCTGCCTAGCAGAAGGAAACCTGCCACTGAAGACAGCTTCCAAGAGCTGCTGGGGCTGCTGGCGCTCCTCACAGGCAGCATTTCCTAAGTGTCTGCGTTAAACAGAAAATGAGTGTTCCATCAACAAGCAGCCCAGCCCAAGGATGTCGCTCTGCTCCAGCCAGCCCCAAAGCAAAGCTACTTCCCCTGGCTGATGCCAGACTTCAGAGAGACCCCACGTATGGGTGCCCCTGAGCTTCCTGCCACCTCCACCCATGGTGGGTCCAGCAGACATATCAGTGTGGGGGTCACAGTGCTGTCCTGGCCTCGCTGCTTGTAGCAAATCCTTCTTAGCAAGCAGGGTCTCAGGAGGTCTTTCTGCCAGGGCTTGACTGGGCTTGTCAGAAATTCTGCAATTCAGCAGGTTGCTCTGGTCATCTCTGATGTAGTCACACCCCGCAGGGAAGAAATGACTGGTGTCCCTTTTCTAGTCCCACTTGCTCCTAGAATGACAGAAGTCCGCCTGCCTTCTGCCCAAGCTGTGCCTCCCATCCAGACACTGGAACACTGCATCTACTTCTGGTCTTTGTTTTCCAGTCAGTTCAGCAGCTGCTTCCTTGGTCACCTACCTGGCATGCTCCAGGAATACTTAGTTTCTGAAGACCTTGGAATGTGGTCATTTGGGCAGAGTTATGCTTTCCATTTAGGAGAATGTTAGCAAAACCTTGCCTGCGTTTTCAGTGCCAATACTGATTGAATTTTAAGGCTGTGGGTGGGAGATGATGGGGAAAAGGGGGTGGGGTGGGGACAGGAGTCCTTTAGGTAGCTGGGGGGGGGGCTGTTTCTAGATTAAACTTTTCACTGTGCACAGGGCACACAGAGGTCACTGGGAGCCCGCAGCGCTTCTAAGAGGGGACTTCAGATGGCTGCTGAGACGTTGTCAGCCATGGAGTACTTTCTCTATTTTCTATTTTTTCCCTAAGAACAAGAAGAATGGGAGTTCGGGCATAAAGGATTGTAGGGAGGCATTGAATAAAATTACCTATGTATTGTTTCAAAAAGATTTATGAAGTGGCTTTCCCTGAAATAATTTTAAATAGAGCAGACAGCTTCCCATTCCCGAAGGAGTGGTGGAGGGGCGATGCGGCCGCTGCTGCAGCCTCTCTGGTTCCTCCTACCTTGACATTCTGATAAGGAAGCTATTCTCGTCCTGAGAGCCCAGGACGCCACTACGTCTTGCCAAAAGCCGTGTTAAGTTAAATGTCAGAGCCAGACCTTTAACTCATGACCCTGGAGCTCCTGGCTGGGCGTCAATGTTAAGTTCCGTTGTCATTCCAGGCCAGCCCACGCTGGGGGCAAAGGTAGTGGATCATCTGACCAATTGGCAGGTGGATGGACCTATAGGGTGGCCAGAAAGTCTGGGGCCAGCACCTCAGAGAGAGCAGGAAGACAGGACTGTAAACTACTCCAGTTCCTTTGAACTGGTTGTTGGGGCTTGTGTGATTCTCACCCCTACTTGTTCGCTTGCATTTCAGGCTTTTCAGGCTGCCTGTCTTACCATCAGGGAGGCCCCTGTACCGTTCTTTCTTGGGCTCAGAAAGGAAAGAGGGGGATGGGCTGAGGGCCTCTCAGATGCTAGCTGGGGTCCAACCTGCCGAGAATCTCCTCAGACTCCCGCCGCACCAGTCCAGAGTGGCCTTGAGCAGAGCCTGGGCTTGAGCCCAGGCGCACAGGCGCATGAAGGGCTGCCTGCCTCAAGAAAGTGACCCTCCCCCAGGGCTAGCTGGAGGCCAAGGTGTGCAGGCCCAGGGCCCTTTATTAGAGAAACATAAAGTACTCCTCGCATTCTTTCACAGAAGTGTGTGGAGCTCCAACCGTAGGCTAGCACTTGCGCGGGCACCTGCGGTAGAAGGTTGGAGCAGGTGCATACAGCCTGCCCTGCCCTGAGGGGACCTGCTCAGGAAGTTGCAGCCTTGGGGATACGTGCCATTGGGGACAGGCACAGAGGGTTATGGTGGTGTACCAGGGGGAAACGGAATGCTTCCATGGGACTTTGCAAAGTGGATGTGCTGGTGACCCTGCCAGGAGGTGGTCACAGGTTAGACAGAGGGGGTTGGAAGGGAAATTAGAAGGCCTGGTGGGTGGCGCGAGTGTCCACTCTGTGGGTGTCTGACCTCCTGGACTCCTCAGAAGGACTCGCTCACATTTTATTTCCTTTCCACTCCTCTTTCTCTTTCCCTCAGTTTCATTCTTTCTCTTTCCATGTTTGTTTTTTCTCACTTTTTCTCTTGACCATAACTGCCCTTTAGTTCTTCTTTAGTTAAGACCTTTTTCATACTGTACTTGTTATCTTATTTTTAGTAATTTTTCCCTCATTTTTAAATAATTGTAGAATCACATGCAGTTTAAGCAATAATGGAGACCGGCCATCCTCCTTCCCCACTTTCTCTCATTGGTACTAATATCTTGTGAAACTACAATACAGTGTGCAAATAATTGGTGATGCAACATTTCCATCTACAAGAGTAGCTTTTATGTCACCTTCTTCCCCTCTATCCCCTCATCCCTGGCAACCAGGAATCCATTCCCTATTGCTATAATTTTTTTTCATCTCAAGAATGGTAGGGCTGGGGAGATGGCTCAGTAGAATAAGTGCTTGCCTGGCAAGTGCAAAGGCCTGAGTTCAATCCCCGTTTCCACACACACAAAAAAAGTAAGTTAAAGAATGATATGAAAAAACTAGGGGTATAGCTAGTGGTAGAGCATTTGCCTAAAAATGTATATAAACAGAGTCACACAGCATGTAACATTTTAGTAACAGAACTACCAAGATTGATTCGTGTGTGTGTGTGTGTGTGTGTGTGTGTGTGTGTGTGTGTGTTTTCTTGCTAGCTTGCTGGGTAGTAGTCCATAGAGTGAATGTGTCATGGTTCATGTCACACCCAACCCGCTGAAGCAGAGCTAGGTTGTTCTGGGTTGGGGCTAGTATGCAAAAGTGTCTGGATATATCGACACCCACTTCCATGTGAGCAGACGTTTTCATTTCTCTGGGATAAGCACCCAGAAGTAGACTTGCTGGGTCATGTGGTAGTTGTGTATATATTTTAAAATCTGTCAAACTGTTTTCCATGTTGACCGTACTATTTCATATTGCCACCAGAAATGGACAAGTGATCCTGTTTCTGTATACCCTTGCCAGAAGGTAGTGTCATTGCTATTTTTTGTCACTGTGTGATGAGTGAAATCAGAGCAATCTAAACTCTGGTTTTAAATAACTTTTTTCTAATGTACAAGGATGCTGACCGTCTTTCCAAGCTTATTTGCCTTCTATATACTCAGTTTCTTCAGGAAACTGTCTTTGGTCCACTTTCTAATTGGGTTAGTCTTTGCTATTGTTTCCACTGAGGTTTTGGGAGTTCTTTATATATTTTTGATACTAGTCCTTTGTCACATAGATAGTTTACAGATATTTTCCCTTACTCTATAATTTGCCTTTTCATCTTTACAGTGTTTTCCAGAGCAAACATTTTCAATTCTGGTAAGGATTAATTTTTCAGTTTTTATTTTTATAGATAGTGCCTTTGGTGCCAAATCTAAGATCTCTTTGCTTGCCCTAGATCTTGAAGGGTTTCTCCCACTGCTTTAAAAATTATAGTTTTTTCTTTTATATTTGAGTCCATGATCCATGTTGAGTTAATTCTGGTGTAAGGTCTAACACTGTGATTAAGGTCATTTTTCCCCTCATGGATGTGAGATTGCCTTTTCACCATTTCTTGAAAGAATTCTATACCTTTTATTGAATTTCTTTTGCATTTCTGTAGAAAATAAGTTGAGCATCTTTGTCCCATTAACCTATGTGGCTGTCCTTTTGCCAGTGTCACACGTTATTACATAATTAGTCTTGAACCTGGGGAGACTGATTCCTTCTACTTTCCTGTGGTACAGGTGAGATAGCTCATCAGACTAAAGCATCTGCTTAGGCAAGCTTAGGCAAGCGCAGGGACCCTGGTTCGACCCCCAGCCCCACATGCCATGCCAGCCCGGCCCCTGGGGTAGGCTGAGTGACCCACAGAGTCCAGGGTAGTGACGTACACCTGTAATCCCAGGGCTGGGGAGGTGGAAAACAGGAGGATCACTATGAGTCCGAGCTGTGTGGGAAGACCCTGTAACAACCATACATTAATTAATTAAATCCTGTGGATTTTTGGCAGGAACTGCACCACGTGCGTGTGTTAGTTCGGGAGAGTCGAACTCTTTGCTGTCTCTTGAGGCTCCTGCTCCACGAACACTCAGGCAACTCCACTGATTCAGCTAGACTTTGGTTTCTTTCGTCACATTTTGTACTTGGCAGATCTTTTTGCCAGGAAATGACTGTGATCTTGGGCATTGATTCATTGCGCAGAACTTCAGCTCCCCTTGTGAGAGGTGGCTTGGTGACATCTGCCTTGGATCGGCGTGACAAGGGTCAAATGCAGCATCTGGGAAGCACCAACAAGCTCCCACGCCTGGTTCTTCTGTTTCTTCTTTCTCTCCTCTTTCCTACTCCCACTGGCTGCCATGATCACCCCAACCTTTCTTCACTGTGCCTTTTCTTTTCATCCTTTGCTTTTTAAATCCCTTTTCCCCTCTCAGCCACTTAACTCTAAGTCTCACTTTGTCTCTCATTCTCACTCACTTATCCTGCTTCATTCGGTCTCCTGAGAATCTTTTCTCACCCATCCCTCATGGGTGCTTGGCCATCCCTTTCCCTGCTTTCCCTAGATGTGGAGTGTCACTCCAGGGACAGCCATCCTGGGTTAAGCCAGATCAACAGCTTACTAGCTTCGGGGCCACCGGCTCTCTCCTGTGCCTCCAGTTCCTTGTCTATAAAATGGAGTGAATAGTAACTATCTCATATCTTCTAGAAATGATAAAATGAGTATGTAGAAAACATTTAGCATAGTCTGTTTAAATAGGTTTCAGCTGTAATTACTGGGCTATGGCCAATTATACCTGTCCTAGATTCTTCTCCTTCACTCATCCCTTTGCCTCCCCTCACCATCCCTTCTTTTATGTGTATATGAATGAACATATTCAAATTTGTATCTTCTTACTTTCTTGCTGTTGTCTCTTCCACATTTTATGTCACACTCTCTAGTGATAACTGCTCAATTGGCACCAGCCAGAAAATCTCTCCTAAGGGCTGTGGAGAGGAAATAAGTGCTTTTCATTTTGATTTAATTATTAATCCCCTTTATTCTTTGATGAAGGATGCATACACAGTGGGGTTGAGAGGAAGACAACGTACTAGAAAGATGCCGGTAGCTTTCAAAGAGAGGCAGGCTTTAAAAAGCAACAGTACTAGAGAGACAGGTACAAATGTGGGGACCACAAACAATGGAGTAATTTGATTTTCATGCCCTTTTGTTCATGAATCTTCAGGCCTTCTTTGGATGACCAAGAGGGTTGCGTGGATTATGCCAGAGAGCCAGAGCTGAGACTCAGTGCGAGCAGATATGAGGAGCCATGACGGGCCCCAGCTCGGCAGGGAGGACCACGAAATGTTCCACCCTAAGAAAGTGGGGCCACGTGGACCAGCAGCCTCAGGTGCAAAGTTAGGGGCCTGCTCCACAGATGCCCCGCTCAGTGATTGATTCCCTAGTGACCTTCGCATATGAGTGAGCCCACTAAGCTGCTCTTCCTCAGCACAAATTTGTCCTAATCACTGCAGAACATGTTTGGACCCAGTTGGGTGTGCTCAGCTGGATCTTCTCAGTGTTGTCTTGTTATCTTGTGTTCTCTCCAGAGAGTTGAACTTCCCAAGCCAAATGCCAGGTCTGTCTGCCCTCATGTCAGACAACACTATTCTCCTTGAAGACCTCATAGGTGAAAGACTCTTTAGGCGCTCTCTCTCCCTCTCTCTCTGTTTCTCTCTCTCTCTCTCTCTCTCTCTCTCTCTCTCTCTCTCTCTCTCTCTGCCTTTTTATTGTCACCATGAACTCTAGGTGTTTTTATTTAATGACAAAGTAACTTTGTCATTAAATTTACTGTGAGATTAGTCCAAAGCAATTCTAAGTGGGCACTTGTTTCTCTCTGGATATCAGAAAGCGTGCAGGCGCTCTTATTTCTTCCTTAGAGTCACGGGGCCAGGCGAGGGTGCAGTCTGACAGCACGTCCGTCCGTCCGTCCGTCCGTCTCCCCTTGGCTGAGTGCGCCTCTCTCCAGGCCGCAGTCCCTGCTGTGCTGCCAGCACCAGCTGGGCCTCCGCAGTGTGGCTGGAGGTCAGGGTTCCCGCAGGCTCGCTGTTAAATCTTTTGTTGCTGTGTCACATAAGACTTCCCAGTTGGTATTTCTGTGGCTACAGTATGACCGTCCCAGGAGGGACTGAGCCGGCCTTTCTGTGTCCGCAGTGGCGTACTGCCCCAGCTGTGCGGCAGGAGACGAGCAAGGCCTCTGCTGAGGCAGCCCAGGAGTTCTGAAGAGCCCAGGAGGCCTGCAGATAGGTTAAGAGGGACAAGTGCCTTACACTAGAATTTGGTGAGACAGAATTTTCCTGATAAAATGCATATCTTTTTTTTTTTAATACAAGGTCTCACTATGTAGTTCAGACTCATAATGATCCTCCTGCCTCAGCCTCCCTAGTGCTGGGATTACAGGCCTGTGCCACCATGCCTGGGTCTGGGGCCGGCACAGCATGCAGTACTAGGGTTCAAACTCAGGACTGTGTGCTTGCCAGGCAGGACCTAAGGGGTAATGTAGAATTTAGAGCAGTATGTGGCCTGCCCAGGAGAATGGGGATTATAGTTAAGAACCAAGATCCGTGAATTTCAGTGGGCAGGAAGCAGAGACTGGGACAGTGAGCTGTGGGGTCAGACCAAGGTCAGTCAAAGCCAGGTTCTGAGCTGAGCCATGCGGCCTTGGGCAAACTCACCTTCTGCTCTGAATCTCAGCCTCCTTCTCTGTCATAGCGGTGTCACACCTGCCAGCGGTGTTGTTGAGATGGCCAGGTGGGCTAGCTCAGGTGAGGTACACAGTGCAAAGCTGTGCATAGCGTATGTGCACGCACACACACACACACACACACACACACACGTTTCCAGAGCTTTTCTGCAAAGAAAAAAATGTTCAGTACACCCTGCTCTAGGAGATAGATGGAGCACATTTTCAAAACAAAAGCAAACAGGTGCGGAGCCTACAGTACAGACATGACAGAAAGCAGGTCTTAGTCCGGTGTCCCTGAGTTCAAACAAGGTACAGCCGAGTGGCTCTGGGAACAGCCTCACTCCTGCCTCTGCATCTCCAGCCTCTGTTTGGAATAGGAAGGCCACCCACACCAAGGGACAAAGTCAAGAGCTCCCCTCCGAGTGGCAGAGGCAGCCCACGTTGCAGGCCAGCAGGGCCCAGAGCATAACACACGGTGGGGCAGGGCTGTGCGAGGCGGATGTGCGGGTTCCGCCGCCCTCTCCCAGCCTCCAGCAGCCCTTGGCCCTGCTGGCAGCTCTGCGGTCACACAGTGCTGTATGCAGGGACAGCTCCACAGTGATGAAGTGTCCTGTCTGACGCCCTCTATTTCTAGATCCACACTGTTTCTGGTTCCACATTCTGCTGGGAGCTGGGTGCCCTGCTGTCCTCCTCTGGCATGGGGCCTCTTGCTTGGAGCACAGTTTAAAGTACAATGCCTTCCCCGAGCCCTGGTGAGGAGCAACCTGGGCATAGCCACCAGCTCCTGCGCTGTAATGCCAGTCCTGGGAGAGCTGCCCCGCCCCTGTCACCCCACAGTTCCCTAACTTGGCTAACACCTCTATCCCATCTGAGCTGGGAACCAGCTCAGGAGCTCACTCACTCCAACCTCTGTCCTTACAGCCCTCCTCCAGGAGGACTACAGCATATCGGGGCAGAGGCCTCGTCCCCTGGGGAGTATTCCTTCCCTGAGTGAGGACCATGGCCACTGCTCAGATATTCTCTGTACCTCTCTCACCAGGTGTACTGCTGGGGTCCTGGAGGCACCAAAGCAGATGATTTATTTTATCTGCATGCCCACGGGGACAGGGGAGGACAGATAGGCTACTTAGGACCACAGGGGCCAAGTGGGGTGACAGAGTGAGCCATGCTGAGCCCTTTCCTTCCCATGGGGAGCATCTCAGATCTTCCCTATGGCTTCTTGTTTCCTGTGTCTTGGGGATGGACAGGCAGTGTTCAGAGCAGATCCACTAAGGCAAGGCAGGAAGCTCTGAGGATAGTGCATCATGCTGTGTTACACTTAACACCATGTCTGGCATAATTCAAAGCAAATCCAGAGTGTCCGTAAGGGGACGAGTGCTGTGACTGAAGCTCCCAGCATCACAAGTGATCACCTTGCAGTGGATTGCAAGGTACATTCCAGGTAAAGAAGCTTTCCTGGGACTGTTAGAGAAGTGCAGGTACAGGGAAGCCTGCATCTAGGGATCCTGAGACTGCTTTGTTAACAAGAGCCTTATGAGCAGCAGGCATGGAAATGCCAGTGGGGTGAGATTCTACCACCTTCTTCCTCTGTAGCATGCCTCACTGGTCAGCTGATTGGCTGGCTGGCTGGATGGCTGGATGGATGGCTGGATGGGTGGGTGGGCAGGTGGGTCAATGGACGGGTTGGTGTGTAGATGGATGGATGGATGGATGGATGGATGGATGGATGGATGGGCAAGTGGGTCAGTGGATGGGTTGGTGTGTAGATGGATGGATGGATGGACGGATGGATGGATGGATGGATGGGCAAGTGGGTCAGTGGATGGGTTGGTGGGTAGATGGACGGACGGATGGATGGATGGATGGATGGATGGATGGATGGATGGGCAGGTAGCAGGTGGGTTGATGGATGGGTTGGTGGGTAGATGGATTGATGGATGGACTGATGGATGGATAAATGGATAGATGGATGGATGGGGCCATGTATGGGCTTCTCTTGGGCATTCACACCTACTACTTCATGTGCTATGATACAGACTAACTTGGGTACGAAAAGTAAAGCCATAGATATCTAGGAAAATTGACAGAATAGTTGCAAAATGATGAGAATTTTCAACAAAATCCCTGCTGGGTTTTTAAAATGTATTACTACTGGGCTCTGTGCCATTAAACTTCAATGTACACTAAAAAAAGTTTCCTTTTAAGGTTGGTCATTTGGAAAACCTGGAAAACCAGGACTGGTCCCCTGGGAGAGGCTAGTCCTTCTTTGTGTGTTAGGCACAGGCTCTGGGGGCAGGACCATGGGGCGATTCCCTGGCCCCAGGAAAAGGAGCCTGTTTTACCTAACTCTGCTTTTACACTCCTGGGGTGGGACCTCTGTGTGCCCTCTCTATAGACCCCTCCTGGCCTCTTTGAGTCCCAGTTTGTGCCTGTGGTTGCAAGAGGTTTGGGGCCCTTTCCTGTGCCATGGGACACCCGGGAGGAACTAGGTGAAAGTGGTATTTCCAGCCTCAGTATGAACTTGGCTGGGCACCTGAACTGGAGAGCAGCCACGGAACGCCCCTAGGTCAGGTCACAGTGCCAGGCCACAGCCCGTTGGCTCTCGGCTGCACTCTCATGCTGCCTGTGTGCACAACAATGCTCAGGGCTTCGCCAGCCCGGGGCTTCCTCTTCCCTAAGAGATTCCAGGCTCCGCTTCACTCTCCCACCTCAGGTCGGCACAGGGGAGCCACAAGGAGGCCTCTGCAGGCAGGGATGATGGTGGCAAGGGCAAAGGGAACAGGCTCGCCTGGGGCCACGAGCACAGGCTCTGCCTGGGCATGAAAGAGAACAATTCATAGACAGCTATCAGTTAGGGAATGGTGACAGGAGGAGTCCACGTGCATGCAGCGGAAACGTGACCCAGATCGGGACGTCGCAGAGGGCGCCTGCGCTCACTTGCTGCTCATGCGCTTTTCACTTCCCCTTCTCGGCAGCTGCCCTGGCTTGGCACTATCACCACCTCCACTTTGCGGGTGAAACAACTGAGGCCTAGAGAAGTAACTTCCGCCAAAGAGCCTCAGCTCAAGGCAGAGCGGAAACCTGGGGAATCTGATGCCAGAGTCAGCATGCCCAGCCGCCCATCATCTGGAGTCCCTTTCACTCTGTGGCTGTGGGACTGAGGTCCCTACCACCTCCTGGCTGTCGGCTGAAAGCGTATCAGCTCCCAGAGGTGGCCACATTGCTTGCTGCTGGTCCCCTCCATCTTTAACACCAGCAAAGGAGAGATATGCCTGTCAGCTAATTTCTCTAGTGATTGAGTCACCTGCTTCAGGAAAACCCTTCCTTTGCAGGGTCTCAGCCAGGCTCACCCCACCTGCCCTTCCTTTCTGAGGGACAGCTGTGCCACAGAACAGAATCCAGTCTTGGAGTGGTAGCTCCCGCCCTAAATGCCCAGATCTCACACAGTGTATCAAAGGACAATTCTGCCTGCCTACATGAGCCTTCTCCCTAGGAGATATGCATGCTACGCACCTTTAAAGTTTCTGCTGACCTTCATGTGGTCCTCAAGGACACTGGGACAACCTCCTCACCCACCAGCTTGGCGCATTTTCCTATCTTAACAACCAGTAAGCCATATAAATGTGTGCACAATACCTCGACCTGAGACTCAGGGTGTCCTCCTCACAGTGCTCTTTCCAACCCATCGCAAGACCCACATCTCAAGGATGCAGACACTGGCCCAGCCCGCATGAGACAGGACAGAGAAAACAGGTGCATGTGTTTGGGATGCTCATTTTCAGAGATAGGGAGGCCGTCTGGAACAAGACTCCCAGCCCAGTGCTCTCCCTAATGACCCCAAACATGGCTCTGGGAGGCTGCTGTACCGGGCTCCTGGCTTCCTGCCCTATGCAGGCTGGCCCTGGGTTCCTCATGCAGCAGTCCATTTAGGTGGTATCAGGTTTGGTCATTATCTAAAATGTAGCTCCTTTTGGTCTCTTTTGAGTCTCTCTCCCCTCCAATATCAAAGGACTAAGCCCCATTGCTGGACTCGAAGCACTGCTTCCCCCGAGCTTTCATCTTGGCTCAGCAAGGCTTCCCATCTGTGGGCACAGGTGGCTGGAAGATGAAGAGTAACAGGTTGATGAGGTGACACAGAATTCACTCAAGTCACAGTCTTGTCTGGTGTCCCACAGGGAGCAGCTGGAATACTCAGCTGGCCTCGGCAGAGCCGTGCCTCTCTTCCACCTCTCTGTCAACATTTCTGTACAAGCCCTAAGTTCAAAGCTGCAGGGCTAGAACTGAAACCCTGGAAGGGCTAGACTGTATGTATCATCCACACTGACTTATGGCCAGCTGCTAGTGCAAGGGCTGGACTGTGCAGCGCCTCAGTTAGTGCTTGCTGAGTGGATGTGCACTTAGTAGAATGGATTGGAAATCTGATTAAAGGTGGCCATCTCCATTGTCCCTGAAAATCTGCTTGGCTTGATGAGCAGACAGCACTGGAGGAAGTGGCTTTAGGGTCAGCACGTTGCTAGCCCTTCAAAGAAATCTAGATGGCAAAGGCTCCATGGCAGCTAGCTCACTGTGTGCCCTGCACAGTGCACAGGACCACAAGAGGTGGCAGGAGTTAGATGTTGCTCATTCCTCTTTCTTTACCTTCAAAATACGACCAATAGAATATTGTATTAAGTTCAAATTCAAGGGGAGTTCATGAATATACCACTATAGTATGTATTATATCAAAAGTATGTTCTGAAAATGCAGCTTTAGTTGAGTTTGTTGTCACGTGAACATCCAACATCATAGATTGTGAGGTAAGATGGCTGCAGCATCACTGGGTGATGTAACTTAAAAGGATCACCATTGTGCTGCGTGGGCTAAAGTGGCATATTAGGCCCATGACTTATCCTTCTATTTACACATTTAAAAATACAATTACATATTTTTCCTGTAGATCCATGAAGGAGCAAAGAATATTATCAGAGACTTATAGGAAAGGAAACTGAGGTCAAGCAAGTTAGGGTTAGTTTTCTGTGGACCACGAAGCAAGTCTGCTGGACCCTAAGTGAGAAGCCGAATGGTGACCTGGGCTGGGGAGAAATCCTTCCATGCGTGCTTCCAGTGAGCATGGAGCAAGTGCACCAACCTCAGCTAGAAGGAGAAGGCCTTTCCCTATCTGCTAGATGCAAAAAGTTTCCTGACCTGGGTAGAGGTGTCCTAGAAAACATCTTTTTGCTTCCAGTACAGCACCAGGGCTTCTCCTACAAGAACATATGAGAGTATGTTTAAAAATAAAAAAGGAAACAGTGCAGAAAATCAGCAGAAAGCTGTTCTCTCCCAAGAGCTAGAGGCAGAAGAGTGCTCTTTCCCCAGTGCCCTGGCCCATGACTCACTCACAGCACTGTGCTGGCACCACCCTGCATGGATGGCCCGGAGCCCAGGAAGCCCCACCAAACCTGGCCTGAGTCCAAGCAGCTGAGGTCTCAGGATCAGAGCGTCTCAGGCCCCGCTGTGTACCTCACATGTCTGAAATTCTG